CCAACTAGTGGAAGTATCCGAATCTATTTCTTTTTAATACTCTCTCCCAACCATCTAGTATCCAACCCTCTCAAGTATACACAGTCACTATTATTGCTCTTATATAATTCTTAATTAATTACTATAATTAGTTAATACTTTGCCTATTACTATAAGAATGGTAACAATATGTATATACTATTTTTATTAATTTGTTATTTTGTTATTATTTTTGAAGATTTTCATATTTTTTATTAATTTTAAAAGATTTATTAATTACAAAATTATTAAGAATAAATGTAACAATACAAATAAGATAACTAGAATGACTGTCTAGCTGCTGTAAAATTTGCTTATAATAATAGTAAACAAGCATTTACTCAATATACTCTATTTGAATTAGATTGTGAATAATTATCTTATATATTTATTATTATTTATACTGATAATAAAGTAATAATCTCTCAAAAATTCTTGGAAAATTGGAATATCATAATGAAAATAACAAAAAATGCATTGATAAAAGATCACAAATTTAAAAAATTTGAAATTGATTAAAAAGTTTTTTTATTAACTCATTTTATCAATATATTTATTGATAAATAAAAATCAATAAGAAAGTTAAATATTAAATATATTGGATCATTTAATATAATTAATAAAATTTTATTAGTTGCATATAAATTAGAACTTTCAAACAATATGAAAATATATCTAGTTTTTTATATTTTACTACTAAAGTTATATAATAAAGATAATGAATTTAATAGATCAACATTATCACTAGCTATTATTATATCTGATAATAAAGAAGAATATGAAGTTAAAAATATTTTAGACAAATAATAAAAAAATAACTACAATATCTTATAAAATAAGTTGAATATTCTTTATATAATTCTACTTGAAAATCTTTGAATAATCTCAAAAATACAATGAAAAAAGTTAAAGCTTTTAAAAAAGTATTCTTAATTCAATATAAATATTATCTTTTAAGAGGAAGAGGATAATTATAATAATTTTTATATACTCTTGTAATTTCTTGTATTATATTCATTATTTTTCATGTTATATTTATTATTTTTTGTATAATATATTAGAAATTAATACAGATCTATATTTAATACTTTTTAATATTTTACCAAATAAATTAGATATAAAATATAGATCACATTATTAATTTAAATACACTTTGTTTTTAATTTCTTTTATTTTTATTCATTTTTTTCTTTCATATTTATTATTTTTAAATTTGTATGAATTATTTTTTATTATTATTTATATTTTATATATATTTAATTAAGTATAATATAATTTAAAGACACGTCATCTTTAAAATTAATAATTTAGAACCAATTACCCTCTATTTTTTTTATTAATTTATTTGTAATTTGTTAAATATTAATTATGTATTTAAATGTCTTTGTTTGTATTATAGCTCTTTAGATCTTTTCACTATTTAATAAATAAAGAATAAGCTTTATTAAAATTAAAACTGAAAACTATTTCAATTGATTTATAACAATTAATAAATTTATCTTAACATTATTCATGTAAGAAAGTATGCTTACATAAATATATATATTTCTGCAATAAATTACCAGAAATCCATAAAAAAGCATAGTAAAATATAGTAAAATTTGAAATTTTCTCTTTATAATAACGTTATTATTTTTATTAATAAATTTTTTTTTGTTTTATATCAAAATAAAATGAAGAATTTATATTTTAATATATATTTTTTATCAATTTTTAAATTTAATTACAAGAATATTTCTGATTGTAAAGTTGGTTATATAAACTTTTAATAATTAAAATTACAATTTAATTATAAAATATTTGTGTAATCAACTTTATAATCAGAAATAATTTTGTAATTAAATTTAAAAAATCTATGTTAAAATATAGTTTCTTCATTTTATTTTGATATATAAACAAAAAATATTTACTAATAAAAATAAAAATAAAAACTTTATTATAAAGAGAAAATTTCGATTTTTATTATATTTTACTATGCTTTTTTTTGGATTTTTGATAATTTATTATAGGGATATGTATAATCTGATCAATCTCAAAAATTAAATTTATCAATTGGCCAAATTTCAAATTCTGAACAAATTACATGTAATAGTTTAATAATTTTTATTTAAAAAAGTTTATATATAAACAAGTTTTTAATGATTTTTTTATAAGAGTTGTGAATTTTTTATTTTATTTGAATAGCATAAGATTAGGATTAGCGATAGAATTATAAGTAAATTAGTACCTAAGCTTGATTTAGACATCTACTTATATTTTCATTTTCTTGTCTTGTATCGGATTTGTTTGCTAAAAACATCATTTGTTGAAATGAATTTACGTACTACATGTATTGATGATCAACGAGTAATTTTTGTCTATATTTGGAAGTTTATCATCACTTTTAGCCAATGGAAATGAAGGGTTTTCATAGTAATTTATTTCACAAGTATACGTAGGTTGCAGCTATGCATTCAGAAAAATGGAAAATCTTTTTTTTGGTCTAGACTTGTCAACACAACAATTAAAATTGACAGTAATTGATGAAAATTTCAAAGTTATTTTGGAGGAATCAGTGCATTTCGACAAAGAGTTATCTGAATATGGGTATTTGAATCAAGATATTTAATTTTACTACTGCACAATTTTTGAATAATCAAATAACTAAAATTAGTTAAAAAGAACAAAAAATGGAGTTATTTCAAACGGAAATATCGTTATCTCGCCAACATTAATGTGGGTCGCAGCAGTTGATCGACTTTTCACCAAACTTCAATCTGTTGGGTTTCCTTTTCAACATGTCAAAGTTATTTCTGGTGCTGGGCAGGTGATGTTCGAAATATCAAATAAATTTTGTCGGATTAGTTCATGCTCATTGAATTTTCTCATTTAGCAACATGGTAGCGTTTATTGGCGAAAAAAGGCATCGAATATATTCGCAAATTTAGAGCCAAGTCAATTGCTCGTCACCCAATTGCGTAACTGTTTTGCGATTCCGGATTCACCAACATGGCAGGATTCGAGCACTACTCAAGAGTGTCGTCAATTGGAGTATACTGCGTGTGGCCCTGAAGTATTGGCTAAAATCACGGGTTCAAAGGCCTATGAAAGGTTTACAGGAAATCAAATTGCAAAGGTAGTAAATAAAATAATATGATCTGAGCTTATTTAAATATTTTTCTAATTTTTTAATACGATTCTTTAAAAGATATATTGCAACAATCGAGAAGCATATGATGAGACAGAAAGGATTTCGTTAGTCAGCTCATTTGTAGCAACACTTTTATTAGGGAAATACGCACCAATTGATGTATCTGATGGTTCGGGGATGAATCTTTTAGACATTTATACAAAAGAGTGGGATAATCGATTGTTGGAAGCATGTGGTTCGGAATTACGGCAAAAACTTGGCGAGCCTGAGAAGGATGGCTTCAAGGTAATTGGTAAAATTTCAGAATATTTTATTAAGAGATATGGATTTGATTACGGTAAGAATTTTGAAAATATTTGAGTTAGCTGATATCGATTTAGAAAATTAAAGTGATTTTTATGCTTCACATTCATTCGATTTTAGAATGTATGATTTTGCCATTTATGGGAGATAATCCGTCAAGTCTCCTTTCCTTAAGACTTGAACAGGGAGACATAGTTGTATCACTTGGGACTTCCGATACCGTATTGCTCTTGACAGATCAAGCAAATCCTACTACAGAATCTCATACTCTTTGCCATCCAATTGATCCAAATGCCTACATTTCAATGCTCTGCTACAAAAATGGAAGTCTTACCCGAGAATCCATTCGCGACACTTATGCAAATAAATCGTGGAATAAATTCAATGAAATACTACATTCTTATCCACACCCGCATGAAAATATAATCGGATTTTATTTCCCCATTCAAGAAATCATCCCATTCGCTCATGGAATTTATCGTTTCATTAACCAAGAACCGGTTCAAGAATTTGATGACGATTCAAAATATAATGTACGTGCAATTTTAGAGAGCCAGTTTATGTCGATGCGAATTCGTACAGAAAAATTAATTTCTGGTAAAAAGTGGAAGAGAATTAATGCCATTGGCGGAGCAAGTGAGAATACGGAAATTTTAAAGGTGTTGGCGGATGTATTTGGAGTTGACGTATGGCGATATTCTGGTAGGAATTCGGCAGGATACGGAGCTGCTTTGAAAGCTCGAATGGCAACTATTGGAAATTTCAATAGTTCTAGTTTGATGTCGGATTTTTTTAAGATTGCTGAGCCAAGATCGGAAAACACTTTGATTTATGAGAGGATGTTAAATATTTATCAACAGCTTGAATTGAGAATCTTGAAAACTTGAAATGTCATAATCAAAATTGACTTTGCATATTAATGTTTGCTGTTTGAAAGTCATGATATAATAGATTTCTTTTTTTAAACCAATTGTGAACAAGAAACTCGATATTTGACCGTAAAACCATTGTTTATTGATAATTGTGTTGGATAAATCTTCAAGTTTTTGATTAAAATTTATATTTTCTCAACTAATAAAACGATGATATAAAATATATTCGATGTTTTAAAAGGATACCCGGCTTTTTACGACAAATATTATGAGTTTCTCGTAAAGTGGTTCAGAAATATCTTTAAATATTATGCAGAAAAATGAATAACCTCATTACTCTATTAAAGAAAAATAAAAATATACAATGAATCTTAATTTTAATCTATTGTGCATAAACTTCTATACTAAGAAGTAATACAAAATTAAATCCATGAATATGATAGAATAGATCCTTTCTAAGCATATTCACGGATTAGATTTTATATTTAGTAAACTTCCTTTAATTTCACAATGAACGAAATTCAAATTTAAATAAATTTTTATAAAAGAAAGAAATTATCGATATATTCAAGTAAATTTGGGGATTTCAAACGCGCATCTCGCATTTTAAAAAACCTCTTCTCATAGCGATAGGTGGCATTATAAATAAATCTGGATATCATTAGCTTAAAGACAAAATATGAACTTCACTAAATAATCAAATTTCAATGACAAATGATTACGTATATCCTCAATTAAAGATAAGGATGAAGCGAATGCTTAGTTTATACGGAAGAAATTATTGTTTTTTTACAAATTGGTATTATTCATTGTATGTTATATGGAATCTTTCGAAGCATGCTGCTTTGCGAAAAGGATATCATGTATTCGTTATAATTTGGAAGACTATTTTTATGGATTAGTATTTAGATATATATAAAAAATTATAAAACTAAATATTTTTATATACAAAAATCTGTTAGATGCTTTAATATCATTTAAAGTCATTTCTACTATATGGTATAATATTGAAAAGTCCAAAAAACTGATATTTTGAAGTATAAAGATGATAATGATCATTAAAGAAAATAATGATCAATATAATAAAAACTATTGGTTAATCTATTCGCTGAGATACATGACATGTACCATGATATCATTGCGTTCTCTTGTTACTAAACTTAATAACTATAATATTGATATCATATTATATAGCTAGCAGATATTTGAAATCACTAGAATATAAAAAAAATTGCCATTAATCAGCAATATTAATAAAAACTCATAAGCCGAATCGTGTTAAATAGATCAAGCTTCATTTAAATAATAATTGTAAAAGACTTAGAGGTCATTATTAAAAATAACATTGAGAAATAAATGCCTAAAAATTTTGAGAATTTGGAAGTTCTGATAGAGAAATGGAATTTTATTCTAAAATTAGTTATAAATAATTTAGTAAATTCAATGCAATACTATTGTAATAAAGATAAACACATCAACTTTTAAGTTCAAATAAAATTTATTCTGTGATTTTTTCACTTTTAAATAATATATTGATCATTAAGTTTAATGTAATTTCATAATTTTCATGAAAATATAATGAATTTAGTAAAGTTTTTTTGTTATATATTATAGCTATATAATAAAATAATTTTTTGCACATACTATTTATTAGTAATCAGATTATTTGCTCATTTTGTAAATAATTTCAAATGATATTAAAATAATCTAAATTATTAGTTATTAGATCATTTAATTTATTTATTATATGATTTATTTTTTAATTAATAGAGTTTTAATGAGTTATTTTTATAATAATATCACAAAGTTTAATTTTAATTTTTATTAATTAAAAGAAGATTATGAGATTACTTAACTTTTTTAATTTAAAATTATCAGTTATTGATTATTTGTCAAAAGAATTATTTAAATTATTTAAAATTATTTATTATTACTGACATATATTATTCGAAATAAGTATTATTAGAATAAGTACTATTCCAATTTATTTAAGAGTTAACAAGCACCAAAATACAAATAACTTATTATAGAAAAATATAAAAGTTAATATAATATTAGTATAATATTAATATTACTCACTAATAATCTCAAATAATCTTTAAATTTATTAAAAATAACAAATAACTTGGTTATTATTCATATTAATATAACTTTAAATTAAATACAATTGATTATTTCAAATAAATTCAATTTTATTATACTTGCATTTGCATTATTTGTAAACTTACATCATAAAAAATAATTTTTGATATATTAGCATGTTAAATTATATATATATTTCTTAAATTATTAGGTTTAACAGACAAATTTGTCTGCTAAAATTTTATAAATTTATATATAATATATTTTTATCAAAAATTAAATATATTAAAAAATTTTGTTTAATCTTAGCTTTAATTATATATTATATATTAATTATTTTCACTTTTTTAATAATTATAAAAAATTATAGTTGTTTATAAGTTAAAAATAAGCAATTTTAAAAATTTTATTATTAATTTTAAAGTTTAAAAATATTGTATAATAAAATTACAGAATTGATTAAAAAATTAGTCAAATATTTTGAGCAATTATAAATTAAAATTACAAAATTTATATTATATTAATTAAAGTATATTATATTTTATTTTATCTTAGAAAAAAAAGAGTTAAGCTTATAAAAATTAGAAGTAAATAAGCTAAAAAAATTTTAGCAGGCAAAAATTTGCTCATTGAATAATTTAAAAAATACATATAAGTTTTGTAGTGATTGGTACTAATAATCTTTGATTATTATATATTACTCTATAAAAAAATAAAAGAAAATAATTATAAAAAGATTCAGTTTTTTAGTTCCAAAAAATTACCAGTTTCGTTAACAAATTTCCAAATTAAAATCTAATGAAAATCTAATTAAAAATCTGATAACTTTAAAATATGATATTTCATGATTTATTAATTCAATCTGAACAAAGATATCGCTATTTGATTTGACTAATCTTGGCAAATCAAATAATAATATTTTTGTTTAGATTGAATTAGTGAATTGAGAGATATTATGTCCCAAAGTTATTAGACATATTTTTTCATTTTTTCCATTTTTTATTTTTAATCAGATTTTAATCTGAAAATTTGTTAACAAATCTTGTGATTTCTGGAACTAAAAAATCAGGTCTTTTCCTGATTATTTTCTTTTATAGGATTATCTTTGATAAATTACAAATTATATTGATTACCTTTGATATTCACATTGCTCGTATTGATTATTTTTGGTATTCATGTTATTTGCATTGGTTATCTTTAATATTTATGTTGTTTATATTAGTTATCTTTGGTATTCACATTACTTGTGTTGATTACTTTTGGTTTTCTTTAATATCCATATTGATTGTATTGATTATCTTTGTCTTTGGTATTCACATTGCTTGTCTTTGATATCCATGTTGCTTGCATTAGTTATCTTTGACTCAATATTGATTGTTTTTGATATTTACATTGCTTGCGTTAGTTGTCTTTGATTATCTTTGGCATTCACATTATTTGTGTTAATTGTCTTTGATATCTATATTGCTTGTATTGGTTGTCTTTGATATTTATATTACTTGCATTGGTTGTTTTTGAATTGTTTTTGGCATTCATGTTGCTTGCATTGGTTGTCTTTAGTGTTCATGTTGCTTGTTTTTGGTATTCACATTGGTTGTCTTTGGTATCCACATTGCTTGTGTTGGTTACCTTTGATATTCATGTTGCTTGTGTTGATTGCCTTTGATATTCACATTGATCGCATTAGTTATCTTTGGTGTTCACATTGGTTACTATTGGTGTTCACGTTGCTTGTCTTTGGTATTCACGTTGCTTGCATTGGTTACCTTTGGTATACACATTGCTTGTGTTGGTTGCCTTTGGCTCAACATTGAGTGCAAGCAAAATTAAAAAAAAACTGGAAAATAAAAGCCACCTACAAAATAAAAATACAGAAGTTAATAACCACGATCTAGAGAAAATATAAAGAAAAATGGATAATAATTTGGAGACAAGTAAAAGGAATTGATCAAAAAACTTCCTGGATACAAGAATAACGCTAAATGAGAAGGAGACGAAACAGCAATGTTGGCAACGACTAACCAAAGACAAATATGTAGAACAAAGGAAACAGGAAATATCACAAAAAGATCAAAAGTTTATCGTTATTACGTATTCATTATTAACGTTAATATACAATTCCGTCCGATATGATCATCAGTAGTACCAATCATTATGAGTCAGATTTTTCGGTCCTGGTAGAGTCCTCAAATAGTGCTCCAACCGGGTCGATCCACCCGACCCAGAACGCACATTTCTTGTCGGGTTGGATTGGGGTCAAACCCGACTCGAAATAATTCGGGTCAGACTAAAATCGTTATTTTTCGTTCAATATTAATTAGTATTAAACGAAAATTTGTGGGCATATACACAATTACATTCAGAACAACTCTACTTAGACACAAAATACAAGTGTCTTAGTAAAAATAAAAGTTATTAACCAAAAAATATTTTACGATTTTCGGGTCAAACCTGATCCGAATCCGACCTGACCAGAAATTATCGGTTCAGGTTGACCTCAAATTCGATCCGACCCGACCCGTACTGTTACCGTAGTAACAATAAATCCCTTAATTCCGCAATAATGCTCAACTAAATTCTACATGAAAATCTTAC